TATTATCAGTCAAACCAAGGCCAGGGGCAGACTGTGGAACAGACCATCAATTGCTCATATGCAAATTCAAACTGAAGCTGAAGAAAATGAAAACAAGCCCACGAGAGCCAAAATATGACCTTGAATATATCCCAACTGAATTTATAGATTATCTGAGGAACAGATTTGATACATTAAACACTAAAGACCGAAGACCAGAAGAGTTGTGGGATGACATCAAGAACATCATATATGAAGACAGCAAAACATCATTAAGAAGACAAGAAAGAAGGCAAAGGTCAAAATGGATGTCAGAAGAGACGCTGAAACTTGCTCTCCAGCATGATGCTAAAGCAAATGGAAGAAATGAGGAGGTACAAAAGCTGAACAGAAAATTTCAAAGATCAGCTCGAGAGGATAAAGCTAAGTATTACAACAAAATGTGCAAAGATGTGGAATCAGAAAACCAAAAAGGAAGAACACGCTCAGCATTTCTCAAGCTGGAGGAACTGAAGACAAAATTCAAGCCTTGACTTTTGTTATTGAAGGATTATTCTCTGGGCAAATTATTGAATGATGCAGAAAGCATCAAGAGAAGATGGAAGGAATCCACAGAGTCACTGTGCCAAAAGGAAATGGTTAATGTTCAATCATTTCAAGAGGTAGCATATGATCAAGAGTGAGTACTTGGGAGGGGCTAAGGAGTCCTGGCTGCTGATTGAAAGTCTACAGTTAGAACCCATTAGCCTCTCTGCTTGAGAAAGATGTGGCAGTCCGCGTCCCTAAAGATTGTTGTTGTTGTTAGATGCTGTTGTGTGGGTTCTGACTCACAGTGACCCAGTGTAAAACATCACTGCCCGGGGCTGCGCCATCCCCACAATTGTGATGTTGGAACCCACTGTTGCTGTCACTCTCCTTGGTGGTCTTCCTCTTTGTCGCTTACACTCCACTTTGGAAGCATGATGTGCTTCTCCAGGGACTGGTTCCTCCTGATGATATGTCCAAAGTACGAGAGATGAAGTCTAGTTTTCCTGGCTTCCACGGAGCATTCTGCCTGCACTTCTTCCAAGACAGATTTGTTTGTTCTTCTGGCAGTCCATGGAACTTTGAATATTCTTCTCCAACACCATAATTCAAAGGCATCGATTCTGCTACAGCTTTTCTCATTCATTGTCCAACTTTCACATGAATATAAGGCAACTGAAAATACCATCGTTTGGGATGGTGGTGGTTGGTGGTTATGTGCCATGGAGTCGGTTCGAACTCATAGCGACCCTGTGTAGGATTTCTGAGGCCGTACATCTTTATGTGAGCAGAAAGGCTCATCTTTTCTACCACGGAACAGCTGGTAGTTTTGAACTGCTGACCATGAGGTTAGCAGCCCGACTCATAACTGCTATGCTGCCAGAGCTCCTTATGGCTTGGGATAGAGACACCTTAGTCTTCAACTGATATCTTGGCTCTAGAACACGTTAAAGAGGTCTTTTGCAGCAGATTTGTCTAATCATGTGATTTCTTGACTGTTGCTTCCATAAGCATTGATTGTGGATCCAAGGAAAATTAAGTCTTTGACAACTTTAATCTTCTCTCCATTTATCATGCTGTTATTTATTGGTCCCTTTGTGAGGATTTTTTTGTTTTGTTTTTTTAATTGAGGTGCAATCCACACTGAGGGCTGTAGTCTTTGATCTTCATTGGTAAAGTTCTCTTTGATCCCAGCAAGCAAGGTTGCGTGCGTCATCTGCATAGTTCAAGTTGTTAATGAGTCTTCCTCCAAACCTGATGCTACATTCTTCATATAATCCAGCTTCTCATCTTATTTGCTCAGCATACAGAATGAATAAATATAGTGAAAGGATACAACCCTGACACACACCTTTCCTGATTTTAAACCATTCAATATTCCCTTATTCTCTTCAAACAATTGCCTTTTGGTCTATGTGTAAGTTCCTCATGAGCATGATCAAGTGTTCTGGAATACCCATTCTTTACAATGTTATCCATCCACACAGTTATGATACATAGTTATGATCCACACAGTTGAATGCCTTTGCTTAGTCAGTAAAGCACAAGTAAACATCCTTCTGGTACACTCTTTCAGCCAAGATCCATCTGATGTCAGTAATGACATCGCTTATTCCAGATCCTCTTCTGAATCTGGCTTGCTTTACCGTGTTGATGCACTGTTACATTTTTTTTTTTTTTTAATTATCTTCAGCAAAATTTTACATGCATGTAATATTAATGGTATTTTTTATGGTTTCTGCCTTCCTTTGAGTCCCCTTTCTTTGTAATGGGCACAAATATGGATCTCTTCCAATCAGTTGGCCAGGTAGCTATCGTCCACATTTTCTGACAGGCAGGGCTGCATTGGTCGGTCTGTTGAAACATTTCCATTTGTATCCCATCAATTACTGAGTCTTGTTTTTAGCTGTTGTCTTCAATGCTGCTTGGACTTCTTCCTTCAATACCATTGGTTCTTGATCATATGGTACATCTTGCAAGAGGTGAATACTGACCAACTATTTTGGGTATATGACTCTGTGTACTCATTCCTTCCATCTTCTTTTGATATTTCCAGTGTCGTGCAACATTTTACCCATGGAATCTTTCAATATTGCAACCCGAGACTTGAACTTTTTCTTTAGTTCTTTCAACTTCAGAAATGCTGAGTGTGCTCGTCCCTTTCGGTTTTCTAACTTCAGGTCTTTCCACATTTCACAGTAATAGCTGACTTTGTCTTCTCGATCTGCCCTTGCAAGTTTTCTTTCTGTTCAGCTGTTTTCTGTCATCATTTCCTCCAGTTGCTTTAGTTTCTCTATACTCAAGAGCCAGTGTCAAATCTCTTCTGACATCTATTTTAGTCTTTTATTTATTTATTTTCTCATCTTTTTAATGACCTTTTGCTTTCTTCATGTCTGATGTTCTTGATGTCATCCCACAAGGTTTCTGATCTTCAGTCATTAAATCTATTCTTGAGATGGTCTCTAAATTCAGGTGGTATATGTTCAAAGTCATATTTTGGCTCTCATAGACTTGTTTCCATTTTCTTCATGTTCAGCATGAACTTGCATAAGAGCAATTGATGGTCTGTTCATAGTCGTCCCTGGCCTGCTTTTGACTGATGAGCTTGAGTTTCCCCATTGTCTCTTCCCACAGATGTAGTCAGTTTGTATTCCATCTGGTGAAATTCAGTATGTTGTTGTTATTAAGTGCCCTCGAGTAGGTTCCGACCCATAG